TGCTCCTTGAAGAGGAGTATAACTTACAAGTCCAACATCGAGAAAAAGGACTTCATCTAACTGCCAGCCACTCCCCTCCCTCTGATATTTAAGAAAGGAGGACTTGACTTTTTCAACCGCTTCATCGTATTGCTTTTCAATCGTGTGATCATCTATTGTCGTAATACAGTTGCTTCTAAAGTGTGGGGTTGAAGTCATATCTTCCCCATCAGGGTTTGATTTAATCATCTTAACTTTTGCACACACATGCCATTTAACACCACGATTTTCTTTCAAATTTTGTCTAACCTTTTTTAATACAGAGTTTTTCTTTCCATAAAGAGTCAACATCAGGTCGTTCTTTTCATGTTTATTCGGTTGAAATAGTGTAACTCTAGCATTCTTGTCCAATGCACATTGCTCTTCTTCTCCAACCCCCTCTTGATCAAATCCAAATATTGGCCAKACCCAGTCTTCTAACATCTCATCTGGGATGTAATTTAACTGTGAAAGTAATGTAAATTTAGATTGATATAAGATAAAATCAACCATCTGAAATATTTTTAAGTATATATCAAAAATGTTAATGTGTTCATAACAATGATGACAGGTGAAGTTGATGGGGCGTGGAAAGGTTATTGTGAAATGCAATGCTAAAACAATCATCTATTGAAACAATATCAAGAACCAATATATAATACCTCAAAATCAATGTCTTCATCTGACAGTCTGATCTGCTTTGAGGGATGGCATTCCTCTGGTGACTCAACCATTTTCMTTTTTGAGGAACCTCCCTTGCATTTCATATTATGATCCTTCAAAAGGTATCTTCTTGGGAACGTTTGAAAACAGTTCAGGCAAGTGAATTGTTCTCTTGACGAATGCTGCTCACGTAAGTGCCGTTTTAATGTTGACCTCACAGCAAATGTTTTCAAACACTTTGAACATTGATATGTTTCTCTCAACACACTCATATGGGGGTCTGAAACTGTTTCTTGAACATAACTATCATACCTATTTGAAACACCCCTAAGAACTTCTTCTTCAACTTGGAAGACAGGGATGTTCGGATCGATAAACTGTTCCAACCAATCATCATCRAAACTAGCCACCATCATAATTATGATTTCTGTTTTTCCTTCCTCCATGGTGGATAAATCATCTTGAGAAATGATTGGAAACTATGAATCGATTGACCTATATTTATATGAATCAAGACATATCAATGACATCATCTCTATTCTGAACGATTACTAAAAAAGTTAAAAATAGGGAAAGAATCATGAAAACTGCAAAGATAATCATTTTTAACGATTACTAAAAAGTTAAAAATAGGGAAAGAATCATGACTAAAAACTGTAAAGATAATCATAAGCTAAAAATCGAAAATCTGAACTTGAATAAAAGAAAGAGTTTGGAGAGAGAAAATACACATTGACAACATRTCACAGATAAAGTACCAAATCAAAGTCACTTCAGAACCATCAGATAATGATGAAGAGAGCCCCCTTGTCTTGATCGGAAAATTCACAGAAGGTGGAAAACGACAGGAATATATGACACTAACATTAAAAAACTTGGAGATAAAACTTCAAATAGATGAAATTGAGAAACAGAATAAAAACAAACCAAGACCAAAATACCATCGTCAAAACGCCAACAAAACATCCATTGAACTTGAAATGGAACAAACAATAATTGAAATGGGGAGATTGATAGAAGAACAAAATGATTCCTCNAAAAAGCTTTATTGATATATATTTGCATTTATTTATATTTACAGCCTTTTGCAAAAATTATGAGAATTGTCTAAACAGGGATGTCAATAAAATTTTAAGTAGGTGGCTAAAGCAGTACAAGTAGGCGYCTGTGTCCAAAACGGGGCCGTAAGGCCCCGCCTTCTAGGGGGGTTTGGGGGCATGCCCCCCCAAGAAATTTTTAAAATTCGATGGCTCAAAAACATAATTTCCAGCATTCTGACATAGAATCAAGTGTATCATAGAGACTAAATCCTCAAGCCCTACCAACAGGAAAATAATTGTTTTATTCAAACATAGTAAATATTGAATCACACATCATAATATACATTCAAGAAGATTCAAGAAAATTTTCAATTCTAAAAGTACATGTAAAATTGCATTTTTATATATCAGTACATAATTAGCTAAAAACTAGTGAATACAAGACGATCAAGTTCATTCGATATTTACAAAACAAAAAACTTAAAACCAAAAAAAAACTTAAAACAAGACATCATCAAAATCAGAGTCATCGCTATCTGACAGAGGGTCTAGCTCAGGCAAGTTCATTACTTTCAAGGCTGCACTGACTTCCTGCCTCCACATCTCTGCTTCCTCCTCGAGCAATTCAGCTTCTTTCTGTAACACTTGAAGGTCAGCAACTGGTACATGCATGGTAGTATCAAGATTGGCTTGAACTGAAGCATCAGAGAATGTTGGTGGATGCCTTGCAGCCTCGTTCCCTTTAGCAAGTTTCCTTCGGGGCTTGACTTTCATCCATTGTTTCACAGAAGCATCAATCAACTGACTAGAGTCCTTGACGTCTGGCCCATTCAGTGTGATGTGCATCAATGCACCCAGCATGTCATTGTTCATTCTACTCCTCATTCTGGTCTTCAGCCTCTTAACGGCAGAAGCACCTCTTACTGGCCATGTGTTGCTCACGGGTAGCGACAGACAAACTTCAGCAAGGCACAACAAACCAGGAACAAAGTGCTGATATGTGGCACGCATTGATAGCAATTTTTCAAGACACCACTCTGTTGGCGACTTTGTTACCAGGACTTTCTTTGGTAAGGGTTTGAGGAACTCAGATGGTAGTTGCTCTTTAAACTGAAGAAGGTTGTACTTGAATTTCTCGCATAACAGTTCTTCCTTCATTTCTGTTTTTTTGGGTTGGTAATGGTAGAAGTGGTCTGCTAGTGTATTGATGTTATCCACTCCATAATCCTTGAAGTCTGGATCTGACYTCTTTGGAACRGCTGTAGGGTCGAAAATCTGAAAAGATGTCAGGATGGGGATGCTGTTTGCAAAGYGTCTTTCGATGTTCTCTTTCATAGCTGTGACATACTTSTGAGTGAGTGTTATTAGGCTCTGCTCGTGGAATTCGGTTAGTTGCGGAAGGTCACAATTTGAAAGACGTCCACCTTCACTAAGGTCTTGCTTTAGGTCCTTCAGGGGCTTGTTTGATGAAGCTACACCTTGTAATGTGTCGACAGTGTACTGGATAGCTGGGTTGATTGCAGCAAAGGAAACACTGCCTTTTTGGAATGCCTTGCTGAGATGTGAAAGTGC